TCCAAATGGAGGTAGAATATCTCGGGCATTTCATCTCTAAGCACGGGGTTCGTGTGGATCCCAGAAAAATAGAGGCTATGCTTCAATGGCCTGTGCCGAAGACCATTACAGCCTTGAGGGGATTTTTGGGGCTGACCGGTTACTATCGAAAATTCGTCCAAGGGTATGGACTGATAGCGCATCCTTTAACACAACTACTAAAACGGGGGAAATTTTGTTGGACCAGTGAAGCTGGTCGGGCGTTTCAAGCACTCCCGTACTTGCACTCCCCGATTTCACCACAGATTTCCTAATTGAGACAGACGCATCAGGATACGGAACTGGAGCAGTTTTATCCCAAAGAGGTCACCCAGTGGCATTTATGAGCAAGGCCTTAGGACCAACAAAACGGGAATGGTCCACTTATGTCAAAGAGATGTTTGCAGTAGTTGAGGCGGTTCGCACCTGGAGGACTTACCTTTTGGAACAACGGATTACGACTCCAGAACAGCAAAAGTGGATATCCAAGTTACTGGGGTTTGACAATGCCATAATCTACAAGCCAGGGAAAGTGAACAACGTTGCTGATGCCCTTTCCCGACGAGAACCAACTGCTCACGAGGCCTTGGATGCAATCACTGCCGTTTCTGGACCATTACGGGCCATTTGGGATAACATCCGTAGTAAAACAATGGAGGATCCCCATTTACAAGAAATCAGCAAAAACATTCTACAAAAATCCAAAGCAGTCGAGGATTATCACATACGAGGGGGGGTGATGTATAAAGGAAGGGTGATGGTCCTTAACGATGAAGGGTTGCGACGCCAACTACTCGACGAATTTCATGGAACTAAGGAAGGTGGCCATTCTGGGAGGTTGAGGACTTTCCAGCGACTAAATAAAGTCTTTTGTTGGGCTGGAATGCAAGCGTCTGTAAAAAAAATGTCAGCGAATGTGACATTTGTAAACGAGCTAAAAATGATTACCTATGTCCAGCTAGGTTATTATCACCACTACCAATACCTAGTGCAGTTTGGGCTGATATTAGTATGGACTTCGTTGAAGGATTGCCGAAAACAAGGGGAAAAGATACCATTTTGGTCATTGTGGACCGTCTTACAAAATATGCCCATTTTGTGGGCCTTGGGCACCCTTTTACAGCAAAGGAAGTTGCAGCGGTTTTCATCCAGGAGGTGGTTCGTTTGCATGGTTTCCCGGAAACCATCATTAGTGATCGAGACTGAATTTTTATGAGCTTATTTTGGAAGGAGTTATTTCGTCTACAAGGGACGACATTGAAAACAAGTTCGGCATATCACCCAGAAACCGATGGGCAAACAGAGGTTGTTAACAGGTGTTTGGGGCAATATTTAAGTTGTTTTGTCCACAATTTTCCAGCCAAATGGATCTTTCATTTACTCTGGGCGGAGCTTTGGTATAACACCACATATCATCATTCTATTAACATGACGCCGTTTAAGGCTGTTTATGGGAGAGCTCCACCAATGTTGAGATCATACACCAGTGGCGATTCCCCTGTGGCCGAGGTTGATGGTCAACTCCCTTCGAGAGAAGAAATCATCCAAACTTTGCGACAGAACCTTATTCAGGCAGCTAATAGAATGAAACAACTAGCAGATGTAGGGAGGCGAGAGGTACAGTTTGAAGTTGGGGATCGGGTATACTTAAAACTATAACCATTTCGACAGCAGTCAGTGTTTAAAAGGATAAACCAGAAGCTGGCATGCAGGTTTTATGGGCCTTTCACTATCCTGGAGAAACTTGGGGAGGTTGCTTATAGGTTGGAGTTACTGCCGGAGTCCCGCATTCATCCCGTCTTTCATGTCTCGCTTCTTAAAAAATGCATCAGTTCACAGGTGGCTGCTAATCCTCGGTTGCCCCCTTACGCTGCAGATGGTCAACTGATTTCTGAACCGGAGAAAGTGCTTCGTTTCCGGCGTATTCGAACACTGTCAGGAGAAAGCAAAGAGGCCTTAATACAATGGGCATCTTTTAGTCCAGAAGAGGCGACATGGGAACCTGTTGAGACACTGCAACAACAGTTTCCAAACTTCAACCTTGAGGACAAGGTTCGTCTTCGGGAGGGAGGCAATGATGAGGTCGATATCCAGGTTGGTCAATGCCAAAATAAGAGGCTTCGCAAGAGCAACGTTATGTTAAAGGATTACGTGGCTTAGTTTCCTATTAATTATTTTAGTAACTAGTTGCTATTGTTTTATTATTAATCATGTGTTAGAGTTAGAATAGGATTCCATCTAGCTGCTAGTACTTTCATTATAATAGGATTAGTTCTTACTGTTAATGGGTATCTATATATACTCATTATTTGACAATTACGAAGAATACGATTTTACAGCTTAAATTTGGGTTTTCTATCGCCTTGAGATAGAATTGGTTTCCTTTACACCGTGAGTAAAGGTCTCGGTTAATTCCCAGACGGGAATTTCCATCATCGTATCAGTTAATCTTTTCGTTACACACATAACTTTTTAGTGCCCGTTTGGTGATTCCATTTTTTTGGATTATCAAGGGTATCAACAAACTTTTTATTAAACACTTAACTTTTGATTTTGCGCGTTGAATTGTGTAATAATAAGAAATTTATCTATGTTTTAAAAAGAGGAATGCTAGAGGTACCCCCATTTTCTACCCCATTTTCTACCCCATCCTATATTTGTGGCTCACAAAAATCCAACCCAATTAAAATAATTGTTCCATTTTTACTCATTGCTTTTGTGAACCACAAACATAGGAGGGGGTACAAAATGGGGTACAAAATGGGGTAGCTTTAGCATTAGTGAAATGAGTGTTTTAAAAAAAAAGTGTGTTGTTTATATATACATATATATAACACATTTTGCAAAGAAATTATTTAAATGTCTTTCAAATTGAATTTTTAACAGAAATTTGGTATGCATAAACTACACTCAATGAAAATCATGTTCAAAAAATTTCACCAGAAAGAACTTCAAATGACCTCGGCCTGGCGGCGATTTCCGTCGGGCCAATCTGATATAATTTACTCTTCAATTAAAATCCATTAAGAGCCTGTTTGGTAGCACGAAAATCGACTGCTTTGGCTGATTCTGCTGAATTTTATGAAGTTCTGACAGAAGTGGCTGCATTGGCTGGCTGATTTAAGATAAAAAAATGTTTTTAGAATATATTTTATTAATAAAATAAAGAAAAAATGTATGTGTAAAAATAGCTAAAATGATCATCTACAGTAACATTAGCCAATACAGCCAGAAAAGTAACTCTGACCTTACTTTTTCTACTTATTACACAATTGAGCGCGCAAAAGCAAAAGTGCGTGTTTGATGAAAAATTGGTTGATAAGCCTGATAAGTCAAAAAACTGTGTTGGCGAACGGCCTCTAAATCTATACTCCCTCCGTCCTCTTTTTAATGTCTCATTTTACCATATTGGGATGTCCCTATTTAATTGTCTCATGCCTTATTTGGTAAAGTTTGTGTGGCTCAAAATCATTCTTACTTTATTTTTACTTTATCAATTAATATCAATCACAAAAACTCATTTTTCTTAAAACTCGTGTCACCCTCTCCCGTCCCAATAAAAAATGCACGGAGGTAGTCGTAAATTCCATCGTACAGCCGGCTGTACCGTGCGCACGGTACAGCCGGCCTTTTAGATCGCAAATCGCAGGGTTCTGGCTTCCATCGCAAATCGCAGGGTTCTGGCTTCCATCGCAAATCGCAGGGTTCTGGCTTCCATCGCAAATCACAGGGCGCTGGTCTTCCTCCGCAGATGGTTCTCGATCTTCGCTCTCCGTTTGGTTTTCTTCCGGTGGTCTTCCTCTGCAAATCTTCCTCCGTTGGTCTTCCTCCGCAAATCTTCCTCCGCTGGTCTTCCTCCGCAGATCGTTCTCGTTCTGGCTTCCAACTTTGGGTTCATATCAGAAAATTTATGAGCATAACAAAAAATATATGTAATTCTTCAGATGTGAGCATAACAGATGAAACTATGAGCACAGTAGACATTTTAAATGAGTTTTTTGAATGCTCATTCCCTAATTTATGTATACTCATTTGATTTTAGTACAATACTCATTTTAAAATGTCATATTCATGCATGTTTCAAAATGAGTTTTATGTTAAACTCGAATGAGTATAACGCCCAAAAATAATGAACACACACAAATGAGTTTTTTAATATTTTGATACTCATTTTGTAATTATGTATGCTCATTTGGTACTGTTTTATGCTCATTTTAAAAGGTTGCACATGTTAATTCATTAGACACATATTGAAATTAAATAAAATTGATTATAGACATAATTTAAGACTTTAATAAACGAAAAAATAATAAACAAAATGTAATATACGAGGAATGAAGCATATATCACTAATGCTCACCGTTAGGCTCATAATGTTCAAAAGAATAGACTCGGTGCTAATCAAAGTTGACTCAATGCTCATTTAAGAGAACCTGTGAAATTCACCAAAATACAAGTTTGTCACCGGCTGTACAGCTGGCACCGTACAGCCGGTTGTACTATATACGCTTTCGGGAGGTACTAATCATTTAAAATCGTTCAAATTCCATATTGAGACACCAGTAAATCGAGGTGACGCCCATAACTAAATACCTCTCGTTAAATTGTTCTTTGTTTCAGTCGACTCTCAGTGTCTCTCGTTAAATTGTTCTTTGTTTCCCGCCCATAACTAAGGATGTTTTTACTTGGACCGTAATTTGCTGGTCTGGTCTGGTCTGATCTGGTCTGGTCTGATCTGGTCTGGTCTGGTCTGAACTGGTCTGGTCTGGTCTGGTAAGGTCTGGTTTCTTTGTATTTTTATAACTATCCAAGTCTGGTCTGGTCTGGTCTGGTCTGAACTAGTCTGGTCTGGTCTGGACTGGTCTGGTCTGGTCTGAGGCAAATTACAGTCAAGTAAAAACATCCCAAATACCTCTACTCCTACGGAGTAATTCAAACCACAAATAAATAATCCGTAAAAGAAATCAAATTAAACCCATCAACTTCCACCATCCCATTTTCCCTGTTTATATTGCTCCGGCCTCTTTCATAACCAACACCGTACACCGACCTCTCAGTCTCACTTGAAATTCCTACAATTTGCTGTTTCTATGAATTGATTATTTGATTGCTGGGGCGATTTCTGTTTTGCGAGTTCACTTATCTGATTGAGATGGAACTTGATCCGGCGCCCCTTTTCGGTGGTTATTTAGAGCCATTTCAGCCGCCTGTAAAATTTTCCGAGCACCTGGTCACCACTGACAAGCATGCTCCGGGCTTTTCATCGAGAGCTCGGAACAGAGTTGTACGGATTGTGGTCACAGACGCCGACGCCACGGACACCTCCGACGATGAAGTCGATGGATTTGTTAGTAGAAGGGTGAAGAGGCACGTGTGGGAGATTAGGCTTGTTCCGCCGCCGCAGAGGGTGGACTCGCGGGTTCAGATCAGATCTAGCAGTACCAAAAAGAGGGGCCCGTCGGAATCCGGCCGTTTTAACCTGAAGAAGTTCAGAGGAGTGCAACCGCGGCCGTGGGGACGTTGGGCGGAGGAGACTCAGGGAAAACGGATCTGGCTGGGAACGTATGGCTTCCGGGAAGAAGCTGCCGCCGCCTACGACCGCGCTGCGGTAATGCTGAACTGTGACGGCGCCGTCACGAACTGTCTGAAGGAAACGGTAACGGACGATGCACTTTGTCGCGCGGCTAACGGTACCTTCGCATCAAACGACGTCGCTTTGTCCCCCGCGTCCGTTCTCCGGTGCGACGACTTCGCTCCATTTAACAGCCCGGTGAAGAGTGACGTCACCTCAAACGACGCCACCGCCGATGAGTTAACGGCGTTCGATCATCTGGAGTTCAGCGGAGGTTTTGACTATTCAGTGGGTGATTACGACCTGCCCTTTGGTGGTTTGTCAGGTTACCCATTCTCCGGAAAAAGCCGAACGGAGGTATTCGAAGAGTTTGACTTTGACGTTTTTCTCTGTGACGTCAGGTGAAATTGTTACACCATTCTCCAATGGCTTAATTGTAAATTACTCCGTAGTTGCAACATGTTTTTCGCGGGAAATGTGAGCGTGACATGGCAGTTTTGGCGGCAAAAATCACCAGTGGAATGCAGCGAGTAGATATTTCGTCAGTTTCTACTTTCTTAAAGAACAGTTCATTTTAGGGGTGGGCAAATATACCGAACCGGCATGATACCGAACCGGACCGGTATGGTACCGGACCGATAAATGGGGTTTGAAACGGATCTCAAAATTTTTGTCCCGAACCGGACCGAACCGGTTCCAAACAATGCCATGACCGGTTCTCATAAAATGAGAACCGGTACCGGACCGAAGTATGGTTTATTAAATTTGTACTACTATAGTTTATCTAAAATATATTAATTACCTCATCCGTCCCAAATTGATTTGCAAAGCCAACATTTTTTTGTCAAAGTTAATGTTAAGTTCTTGATAATTAATACAATTTTTAATAATTAAAATTTACATATTTAGAAACCACATTAAAATCTCTCTAAAGTTGCAAAATCCAAATTAAAATATACGAAGTACGGAGTAGTTTTTTTGAAAGGCCAAATTAGAATGTAATTAAAAAGTGAAATTCTAATTAAGTGAATTAAAAGAAATTGTTTGACCAAAAAAAGATTGACTTTGCAAATCAATTTGGAACGAAGGTAGTATGATACTACGTATATGAAAATTGATAAATTGTGTAGATTTTTGGAGGATGGCTAAACTTTAATTTTTTCTTAAACACCTGGAAAAAGTGGCATTGTTTGGTATTGGTATGGCATGGTACCGTCCCGTTTGAAAATGGACCGTACCGAACGGGTTTGGGTCTAAGACCGAACCGTACCGAACCGTTTCAATAGTAACGGTACGGGTACGGGTTCGGCCAAATATTGGACCGGACCGGACCGTGCCCACCCCTAGTTCTGTTGATTATTTGTTGATGGCACATTGTGTGTGATATTGATTTAGTTTAGCGGAACCCAATGGTATCAATGTTTTGGGCAAAGATTTTTTATATTACTCATTATGTTCAGCTAATATTGTTTCATCTTTCAGAGAGCAAAAATAGAAATTTGAGTGTTTAAGTGAAAGTGCACAAGTGATTTCGGTGCTCTAATTTACTCCCATAATTGGTTTTTTAGATACTGGGAAGTCCAGCTTGTGAAGACTGATTCTAATTCTGCTTCTGCTTTAAAAAAGAAATAGAAGCATAACCAGTTCCAAACACCCCCTAGATTGTCTCATACAAAATGTACTGGTATTAATAATTTGTGTGTTTCTAAATGATTTAATTTTATTCTCAACATCAATAATATAAATCATCTTTTCCCAATGAGCGTGTTACATCATCATGTTTCAATGTTAATGGGAGAAAGGTATATTTATTAGTATCTCCGTAACATAATGGTTGTCTCATTTCAATTTGGCACGGTTATTAATAAAGTGGTTGAAAAGTAAAAGTTGTGGTTGAGATTTGAGTAGAAGAGAGTGAAACAATATGAACCACAAATTTCTTACCAAAAAGGGAAACATGACATTCATTTTGGGACAACCCAAAAAGGAAAGTAAGACAACCAAAATGGGACTGAGGGAGTATAAAATACGGAGTACATATAGAAACATCAACCTAAAATATATTCATTTAGACTAAAGACCTAAAATTCCAATTTGTATATGTGTAAATAACAAAACTCATACATAACAATTTATTCATCACTTAAAAACCCAATGTATTCATCACATATTAAAATAAGCATTCAAAACTTCAGAATAATCAAATAAGTAACTCATTGTATCTACTTTAGTATTGATAAAGTAGGGTTATTTCAATTTCAATTGATTTCTGCTTACAAAGTTACAAGAGAGCCGAGCCGTTTTCCTTATCTGACACTCTGAGTACTACTCCATAGTGTGTCATAAGGACCCACATGCCTTATTTGCGAACAAAGGAACAGGTGAAGACTGAGGATATCAAAATTATATATCGAGAACTGTTCCGGTGAGAACACCCTTTTAGGAGAGTAAAAAAGATTAAAATCGAAGCATTCAACAATGTAATCGTGTGGCTAAGATAAGGGCTTGGGATTTTTTTTAAAAAAATCGTGCACCTCACGTGATTGGGCGAAAAAATGGAACGAAGTGCACAAGTTTAATGATGAAAGGGCAAAGCTGTAAAATAGTGTTATGATACAATTGGACGTGTAAATGCATTTTCTTGAATATCTCACTTGTTTTACCATTTCCAACCGATAAGCTCCAACATTACCTAAAAGTTAGGGATACTAATTATGAAGCATTTAATTATTTTAACTATCACACGTAATTTTATAGTTGGAAGTCTCCTAATAATTAGGAAAACAATTCAATTACACTCATGTTTTGTTTTACGGCATGCGTGCTTCATTTCAATTTGATAATCAAATTTCTTTTCATAAATCTATTTTAAGTTTCTTTTTGCATTATTCAAGTAATGTCAAAAAAAATTGCATTACAATTGTGAATAAATGCATTTTATTCAAAACACTACATATAACTTTATTTAAAACACTACGGATTTGCACTTGAGTATAGAACTACCGCACTTTTATTTAAAACTTTATGCAACATTGACTTAATCAACTATTTGGATTTCTTACAAACATTAATTTCAATAATTAATATTATTCATAAATGAAACAAATCGAAGAAAAACGAGTTTTTTATTATATTTTTTTGCACGTTTATAAGCTGCACATTAATGCCATCAACTTGCACTTTCTTTAAGCCTATCATACACTATGAGCATTTGTTTGATCACTTTCATTCACTTCTACACAAAAATGATCTTAAGTACGTAAAATGAAAATAAATATACAAAGGTGTGAATCAACAATTGTCATCTGCATTTTATATCTATAGAACATCGCACTATAATGTATATAAGAGTGCAAGATTATATCACATTTTCTAAAGTGCACTTTAATGTATACAAATGTGCAACATTATATTACATTTTCTAAAGTTTTAGATACACCCTTCTTATAGAATGTAATGGACTTTAATCATGTGCATTTGGTATACATACAAAAGTGCACTATTATAACAAACTTTCTACAATTTTAAATTGAAATTTATACAAAACAAAATGCACTTTTTCTTCCAAATGGATCACCGTTGCTCTATTGGCACTGCATCATATCTGCAAAAAAAAGTCAAAAAGTAAAAACTAATGAAAGTGCATGACCAAAGCATGATAAGTGCATCGAAAACTTAATAGAAAACCATCTTTATTACTATATGAAAATCAAATCGATAGCTATCGTGAAAGTGTTCCATACCAACATGTAAATGCATCACATAATAATGTAGGTGCACTAATTGTTAGTGCAAATCTGGAAACTTAATAATTAGTTTAGTGCAATTATAATAAGTCTAAAAAGTGTGCAACAATCATATGTAAATGTGCAACAAGAAACATGTATGGTTACATAACTTAAATCGAATTTAAATCGTGTTCAAAATATCTAAAAATTGTTAAATGCATAAAAAAAAATTAACATTGACATTTAAAAAACAATGGCTGATGCACCATAATCATGGAATGAGTTTGATGAAGCAAATAAACCATTTTTTAGAATAAACTACCAATTTAGATTTTTCAACCTTTAAGATGAATAAAATGAATTTCAAAAAAATATACTTGTAGTCTGTATTGTATGAGCACAACATGATCGAAGATAAACCAAAACAAGAAATATATTATACCTTAAGTATATAATTTTGAGAAACTAACACGGAGTAATTAATGACTAAGACAAGAAATTGGAGAACTCATAAAACGCAACATACACATATCACGTGAAGATGGTCCCAATTAAGGAATGATATGATACAAAGTAAGCGGCAGAAGCTTTAAAGCCCGACAAAGCACCTCTGGATGCCGGAGGAGAATTTCTGCCCATCTCCAGATCATCTTCAGTCCTCTCTCGCAGTGGCCAGAAACCCAGATGGAGGTTGTCGATGATGAAGATAGGAATCACAGATGATGAGACAAAGAAAGGAAATTAAATGAATATGGAAAGAAATAATGAATACTTCGTATAAGAGAACTACTATTATCATGTGTTATAACGTAGGATCGGGTTTTAAAGGAAAGGATTGTGAATTACCCATATACCCTTCTACGAATTAATTAATTAATTAATGTAAATGATGTTGCAATCCAACGGCTCTAGATAATTCTTTTTTACTCTCCTAATATTAAGTTCTCACATGAACCTAAATCTATATATATATATATATATATATATATATATATATATATATATATATATATATATATAGATTTAGGATCAAATGAGAACAACCCTTAACGTGAGAACGTGAGAACACCACATTTATCCAAATGTGATGCACAATGAGGCTCGCCCAATGCACATTTTCGCGTTCGGCACAGTATTTACTAAAATGCCACCGTCATTATTTATATAGGCTTATTTTGAGCTAAACCCAAATGTGCACCTGACGGGCTCAATTGTGTATCACGCTGGGTTAATTGTGAGTGTTCTCACGTTCTCACGTTAAGCATCGTTCTCACTGGAACCGCACCCTATAATATACTAAAATGCCACCGTATATAGGGTGCGGTTCCAGTGAGAACGATGCTTAACGTGAGAACGTGAGAACACTCACAATTAACCCAGCGTGATACACAATTGAGCCCGTCAGGTGCACATTTGGGTTTAGCTCAAAATAAGCCTATATAAATAATGACGGTGGCATTTTAGTAAATACTGTGCCGAACGCGAAAATGTGCATTGGGCGAGCCTCATTGTGCATCACATTTGGATAAATGTGGTGTTCTCACGTTCTCACGTTAAGGGTTGTTCTCATTTGATCCTAAATCTATATATATATATATATATGTGTGTGTGTGTGTGTGTGTGTGTGTGTGTGTGTGTGTGTGTGTGTGTGTGTGTGTGTGTGTGTGTGTGTGTGTGTGTGTGTGTGTGTGTGTGTGTGTGTGTGTGCGCGTGTGCGCTTTTAACACGAGCTTATACTCCGTATCATATACTCAATTTTTATATAAAAAATGCACAAATATCACCGATTATTTCATGTACAAATTCTGTTTATTTATCATCCATGCTCGGTTGTCTAGTAAATGATAAATAAATGATTGGGCGTTTCAGCCTCAAATCGCTTCTTTTTGCCGTGTTGTGCTCGTAAAATATGAGTTTTTTTCGAAGTAATGTTAATTAATTAATTAATTATGAAAAAATGCTGGAAAAAAAGTATTTACCGATCTACTGATGGGCTTAACCATGGTCAGGGGTAAGTCGCCCAACCGTTGGGCGACTTACCCCTTGTATATGATCGAAGGCCATCAGCTACTGCTAGCCACACACGATCGTGCGTCCCAGGGTACGCACGATCGTGTCTAAGTCCGAAAACATAATTTCAGCATGTTTTTCGCCCCAGTTCAACCCAGACTCATCTGTTTGCTATAAATAAGGTCTCTCTTCTCCTGCTTAAGTGTTACGAGCCAGATACAACACATTCTAAAACATACAACACACGTCTTCACAATCACATACATAACACCTACTCTCAACAACATAAAAAACACCTTGTAAATACCCTTTACAAATCAAATACAAAACCTTACATTCCTAATCGGTATAACACAGTACAATCATCCAATATTCATAACAAGTAATCATCTAATATTCATACTCGAACACATCAAGACAACATACAAGAGTTTACAAGAGAAAATACGTAAAATGTTGTAAATTGTTCCTACAACATCTAATGTACAAGAAAAATTGCAATACAAAAGACAAACTACAAGTTCCCATGGTCATCTTGGTCATGGAGATGTTGCTGCTTATGTCTACGCCTACACCGTTGTCGTGGTTGAAGAACCACTCTCTCATGTTGCGTCTGAGATGATGAAGCCGCTGCTGCACTAGACGTCGATGGCATCTCCTGAGATGGGGGCATGTGTATAAGATGGTCGTAGTCGACTCGCCCCAACACATCTGAACACAAGAGGCAATGCCTGTTAGAGCCTGTCCATACATGTCCACATCATGAGTATCACTCACTATGGCAGTAGCCCGCTAATGTATGCGCTGCAAAGCTCGTGTCTGAAATATGAAACACAATTACAATTACATTGAAATACATACAAGTATTAAATAAATAAAATGACTTACTTTACAAATTAGTAATATACTCACCGTAAGATGTAAAGCCAAGGAGCTAGGCTGATAATGATGAGTAGGGAGTCTGAATGAAGGAGACACAAACAAACGAGTGATGTTGTAATACCATCCCATGTAGTCTCCTGAAACAGATGGGACAAATGTCGGTATCCCGGTCACAACTAGCTCAGCTCGCCTGTCCCATAGAGAGATGTATCGGACATGTCTCAATGCCCAATCCTCCGTATGCTTCCCACGCCTATCCAGCCTATGAAGCTCTACATAAGTGTCGATAGGCCGTGGAATGACCTGCTCAAACCCAAACTGTCGCAAGACTCTATCAGGCAAATGAAGCTCAACAATGTCAAAACATATCAATGGCACACGTGCTCGCCATATGTGACTATGCTCTCGTCCAGCTGGGGGCAACTCTGCAAACATCTCGGCTGTATACGGCATCCATGTAGTCTGTTTCATAAAGATACAAACTTTGTCACGCCCCAGACCGCGTCTGTGCCACGTGGACAATCGTCGTACAACCCAATAAGAATAATCGCAGTTCATCCTCACCGAATTATACAAGACGTCTGATAGATACATATGCCAAAACCGATTAGTAAACATACATAACAACATCAACATACAATCAAACACATAGCGGAATATAAGTGTTTAATAAGAACTCACACAAGGGTAAAACAAGAGCTCGCAGGCTCCATTAATTTTAAGTGAAAATAGTTCCATGAGCATTATTTAATTTTTTTAGAAATAGAACCAGAGGAAGCACGAACCACTTCTTCTCTCCATCGATCTCCCGAACAACGGGTGCAGGAAGTAAGCTCTAGCTTCAACCTGAAAGGGTGGTTCCCCCGAGGGATCAGTAATTCAGTACCACAGAAAAGTACTGGTGAGGGCAAACTGTATGTAATGTAGCTAACGTTTCTCACGTGAGACCCTCAAAATAGGGTGATAGTATAATTATGGGCATAACTCTTAGCTACCCCTTTTCAAAACAAAATGTATACATATATACATATGAGTAAAATACCTGGCCCGTGGGCCCATTTGTCTTTCAAATCATTTAGGCGTAACAGCCTCATTAAATTCACCCTTCCCATGTCTTACCCTCAAGTGGAGTCACCCGCAGGCTAACTCACCCGATATCAACATATAATTACTGTGGGGCCCTTCGGACTCCCATATCACGGACGTGGTTTAAATCAATTCCTAGACCAAGGAAAATTTCCTATCGGAAACTCGTTCCCGATCAAGCACGTTTAATCATTTAAAATCGTTACCTTGAGGTTCACCTACCTCGAGGACTATCCGTCCTTGCTATCATAGTTTTCATTTCCGGGTTAACCCCGCCTTGAGGAGTACGCATATACACCCTCATCCTATGTGTAATTTACTGGAGGTTAACACACCTGAAGGACTACACGGGCCCTTGTTACCTATGTGTAATTTGATGGAGGTTGAACACACCTCAAGGACTACACTTGCCCTTGTTACCTATATGCACTTTGATGGAGGTTAACACACCTCAAGGACTGCATTTGCCTTTATTACCTATATGCAATTTGATGGAGGTTAAACACACCTCAAGGACTGCATTTGCCCTTGTTACCTATATGCAATTTGATGGAGGTTAAACACACCTCAAGGACTGCATTTGCCCTTGTTACCTATATGCAATTTGATGGAGGTTAACTCATCTCAAGGACTGCATTTGCTCTTGCTACCTATGTGTCATTTACCGGAGGTTAAACACACCTCAAGGACTACACTCGCCCTTATTACCTATGTGTACTTTACTGGAGGTTAAACACACCTCAAGGACTACACTTGCCCTTGTTACCTTATCTTGCCGTGCAAGTTCTTTAACAATATAGTTTGTATCATCATACTCAAATCAACTTAGGGCTAACCTTTATCAAGGCTTCCCGTCTACCCCAAACCATGAATGGACCGCTCCGGGTCCAAGTCATGCTCATACAACTAGTGTCGGGTCCCGCCAGAACCCGAGTTACTCATCGAGACACTTGAACTTAACAATTACATTACCGACCTTAGTCGTAATAACCCTCGGTCAACTATAGATCAAACATAATTTTAGAGTTGGTACCCAACTTAAACTATCAAACCACGGGCTAGCCTCGCACCGACTACCCGCTCGAATTCATCATTCAGAATTAAATAGCTCTGACCGGCGCCGGACATGCCCCAACCGGCGCCGTACATCACTGATCCCGAAGGCCAAGAGACCTGTTTTGGACCGGCGCTTCTAACCGGCCTTAAAATCACACAACCGGCGCCGGTCATGTCCTAACCGGTGCCGGTCAGAGGCGTTAAATTCTGGTCAACACCCGTTTGACCATCTAAACGTAGTCCGATTTCCACAAAATTTTATACACTTATCCAACAAGTCATTCTTAGTCCAAAAATATCATTTTGGACGTCCAAAACTTCTCATATAATTTATAATCATTTTCTATCCAAATTCAAGCATACTAAGTATACTTATTAATGGACTTAATAATAAATCTTGTCTTAATACATTCTTAGATGAATTCTATCATTCCATGTAATATCATTCAGCCTCCTTTAAGTGATCTCATGCCTAAGCCCAAAACATGGCTCACGATCCTCTCTTAAAACCTTTTATTCATACCATTAATTAATTAATTAATCATTAATTATGTCATATTTTCATAATCTATAATTAATGTGACTAATCACAATATCACATATCTTTTTATATTTCCTTACTAGATAACTCTAGTTAATCACATACATAGTCCAAGTATACCTTCTTATTCATTTAAGAAAAATATACTCATGATTAATTAATAAATCAATCTAATTTTCATTAATCATATAATACTTCCATAATCCATATTTAATATGGATAATCATAAGCTCACATATATTTTCATATATTCATTCACTAGATTACTCTAGTTAGTCTCATACATAGTCCAAGTATACCTTCTTGTTCATTTAAGAAAAATATACTCATGATTAATTAATAAATTGATCTATTTTTCATTAATCATATTCACCATGACTAATCATGCATTTTCATACATTTAATCATTTCTCAAATCATGCTTATATTTTATTTAGATAATCCCACGTTTGAACCAAGAGGTACAAGACACGTAGTCGTCCACTCACCTTGAAATGATGCTAGCAAGCTTTTATCCTCTTTGTTTGAACTCCGGCGACTTTTTGAATTTTCCGGCAAAAAATACGGCGGATCTGGCGACTTTCCGGACACTCCTAGGTTCCTTGAGAAGTCTAGAATACCTTGGTAAAATTCATAACAAGGTTTCACAACCAAAAGTGGTATAAACATCAAAACCTTCCGAGAAGGTGTTTCCGGCGAACCAGTTTTACTAACCTTCCAAAGCCGTTCAAGGTTAGTATCCAACCCTTTTGATGATTAACTTACTATATGAAGGTCTTATACTACACTTATAATCGTGTAGGATATCCACCTTATTCGTTAATAGGGTTTATAAACAATTTTGGGTAATAACTAGAAACCAAATACAAACTGTTTTGAGAATCCAGATTTATACCTTGTGTGTTTATTTGCCCTTTTTGAGCTGTAAACACCTCGTATCCTTAAGTGCAGCACCTCGTCTGAAAGCTCTCTTCAAGACCTATCTAATGACACCTCACTCAAGCTAATTGGATAAGAGATGCGTGAGATATGAGGTGAAAAATCTCGAGGGTTGAAATTGTACGAACTAGTTGGCAGCCTTCTTCTCTTTTCTTGCTTCCTTCTTTCTCCTTGTTCTTAGTTCGAGTAGAGATGGTGGAGATGATGTTTTTGAGACTCTTTTCCTCCCTAATTGATGCTAGGGCCGAAATAATAGGAGGGTGGGTGAGTGAGAGGATAGTTCTCTTGTCATCTTCTAAAAATAATGAAGGAGAGTCCCTTTTTCCTTTCACGTTATGTTTCCCCCTTCACTTCTTATTACTCTCCAACCATATAGGTCGGCTCCCCTCCATCTTTTGCATGGTCTCATGTCGTGGGGTGGCCCCCACCCATGTGGGAGGTCATCCCTTTATGTCCCAAAGTGTGTATTTGGTCCCGAAAGTTGTATTTTCCGGACTGTTTTAATTATATTTTATTTTATCGGGTTAAGTAAAATATATATCATTCTTCCAATTAATATTGGACTCTAAAATGAATATATATTACCCAACTTCAATTTAGTGGTCCCCGGAATTTATTTCGGGTTGTTATCTGATTAATTACCTATACCGATAATGGGACCTCGTTTGATCGAAAGGCCAACTTTATGGCTCAACATTAATTTACACCATCATATAAATATTATCTAAACCAAGATGAATATAATATGTTGTCCGTAAATATCGGATGGTCGCCGCCCACGTGTGGGCCCAACGTGTATTTTACTGTTCAAGTAATAGTAAAAATGAGAACACGTTGCCTCGAAAATTCACTCGTCAGTTCTCATTACTTAATATGTGGTTTCATATTTGGCGACACTTTAATAAAATGTTACATTTATTTTTAAGTGGTATGAACTATATGAACATATAAAATCTTATATGTTTATTCTTATACGAAAATATCTTCAAGGTAGGGTCCTCCAAAAGTACCCACCTCTAATTTGTCAAGTTACTCATTATTATCCATCATCCCATATTTTGGGTTCTTAAAATAGTTATATTTCATCTGTTATTAATTCGTAGCCTTCCGAATTATTATCAGTCTGATGATTAATGATTCACAATTATCAGATAGAGACCCCAGCCCGCTTGGCCGTCTAGTTGTCGTTCTTTATATCACTGGGGTCCATGACCCATCCCTACTATCATAATAATATCATTTTGGTAAACATTAATATTTTATAAATAAACTTAGAATATCACGAGAGGTTACACGTCAAAATTAATAACCCTTTATTAATTTAAGACATAATTTTACTTTCTCATTTATCAAAACTACTTTTAGTCTTGATTTACCTTCTTTAACCCAGTACTTGATGAAAAAAATTTCTCACAGTAAAATTTGGGTCCGGTGTTACAAACTTAGTATTTATGCTATACATATTATAGTTAATGTTATATTACCCACACCATACCTGATCCTCAGACATCCGATCAAATGCATCTCTGTAGACACCGAGGCCAGTAGCGGATGACATGCGCGATAGACCAGCATATAGCCATCTAACCATTCATGTAACCGTTTCATTAATATGGATATTATTAATATATTTACATTCAATGTACAATCACATAAATACCAACGATTGAAAACATACCAACGGCCTATAGGGTCCTCGCCTCATACATGATGTGGTCCTAGAAGACGTGGAGGCTCATCAGGCAGTGGGTGTCCATCAATGCCATGATATGCGACTACAATGGGATGCCCAATGTGGATATACTTCCATGACCAAATCTGGAGGAGTAACAAAAATCCCCCAAGCTCTGTGCTCCCTCTATGGCAGCCGCGACACAGCTGTCTGTAGAGATAAGCCAGCGTGGCACTACCCCAGCTAAACTGTGCTGCTACATCAAACCTCTCTAGCATAGGCAAGTGCAGCACCTGAATCTCATTTCCGCTCTTGTCAGCGAAAATGGAGGCTCCCATCATCATCAAGATATATGCCCGTGCATGCTGCTGGATCATCACCTCATCAGCGTCCGGAGGAAGCACCTGGAAGTGCTCCCTCAACCATGGCATCCTCAGAGATGACCCCTGAAGGTCAATCCGAAGAATGGGGCGGATACCTAACAACCGCTCACACTCATCTACCCACTGTCGACAAGCAGTGCATGTAACAGCTCTCCAATCAACCTGTAACCCAGTAAGTACAACAACATCTCCTAAGGTCACTGTCACCTCACCAACAGGGAGGTGAAATGACTGTGTCTCCTGCCTCCAACGCTCAAGTAGAGCAGTGAGTAGCGCTCTATCTAGAGGCACAGTAGCCACTAGTCTGTGCAAACCATAAAAACCCGCAGCACGAACATGGGTAAGTACTCTATCGTCCACGTGCATATGCGACAAACCCCACAGGTGCTCGCGGCACATATCCACCTGAACATCCAGGCCAAGCCAAACATCCTCACTCCTGTGCGAGGCCTGTAATGTCAAGACAGAACGATCACTCGGCCCAGGATCCGCTGTCACCTCCATGCCTACAAACAAACAAAATTGTATTAGTTAATTTTCAATATTATACTAATTCTTTTTTTAATCATCCATTTTTGTAATTAATATTTTTTTCTTGCAACGAAAACATGAATTGTGAATTACTCTAAATAGAACCTTACCCCGCGGACCCCCCTCGTGTCTTGACGTTCTCTTCGCACATGTTGCTCTATTATGGCCGGTTTGGTGGCATTTTCCACATCTAACCGTTCCTCGGGGAGCTTCATCCATCTCATTTTTAATACGTGTTGACTTTGGTCTTCCCTTAGTCCGAAGCATGGATGGATCGTGCACGATTTCGGGTCCATTGTAAGTAGGCCAATAATCACGATCAGGAATGGGTTTGAAGACTCTATGATATGTGGCGGCGTATTGGTCAGATGAGAAAAACTTATCCACAAATGGAGCATAAGACAAGCTACGTTGTTTGCACACGGCTAACACGTGGGAGCATGGAATCTTATATATCTCCATCTTTTTACAAGTGCAAGTTTTCCGTTGTAGATGGACAGTTTGTTTTCTCCCACCCTTCCCCAATGTTCGGCCACCACAACCGGTTTCCACTTGAAATATACCTCGGCCTAAATAAAATGGAGTCACAGTGTGATGCTTCGCCTTCTCTCTATTCTTATCAATTAAATCTGTGATGTGTGGGGAGTACTCGTGGCCTTCTGTCAGCCTAATTTTACTGGTTTCACGCCTATTAACAAAATAAGCATTAACCCGATAAAAGGAAACCTGGACCAAAGCGGTGATGGGCAAATATCTGGCATTTTTCATCACGCTATTGAAAACCTCTGCCAGATTAGAAGTGATGGTACTGTATCTGTACCCGCCATCGTGGTGCAGTGACCACATTTCCGAGGGAATGTTTCCCAAAAATTGTCGTGCCTCCAATCTCATTTCACCTATCTTCTTGAACCCACCATCAAACTTCTTTTTCTGATGATGTCGTGCGGTCCACGCAAAAAGATTTCTAAGATGAATGTCTTTGAAATGAGTGTGCACATTCGATGCAAGATGGCGGATACATAGCCTATGATGCACATAAGGCTCCTCCCAAGTACTTCCCACCTCATTCATTGCCCTGACAATACTTCCATGTCTATCAGAAATGACACACAACTCCCTATTAGTGATAAACTGCCTAATACATGCCATAAACCATGGCCAATTATCCCCATTCTCAGATTCAACAACTGCAAAGGCCACTGGAAATATTTGGTTGTTCGCATCACAACCCATGGCCACGAGCAATGTACCATTGTACTTTCCATACAAGTGTGTTCCATCAATAGTAAGTACGAGTCGACAATGCTTAAAACCATGTATTGATGCCTTGAATGCCCAAAAAACTCTTTGAAACTGCATATAACCTGTGGGAGTATTAAGGGGTGGGTACCACTGCACAATAGTTCCGGGATTTGAATGTTGGAGCGCTGTCATGAAACGGGGCAATTCAGAATATGACTTCTCCCAACCGCCAAATATTTCTGTTATGGCCTTTTGCTTCCCCATCCATGTTCTCCGGTATGATACCGTATACCCATACTTTTCCTTCAGCATCTCAATGATAGTATGCACTTTAAGGGAAGGATCAGTGCGAACAATGTCAATCACATCTTTAGAGATGAAATCTGAAGTCAAAGCCATGTGATCGGTAGTGTCGGTGTTGCCAACGCACGAAGTAGAATGAGGTCGAGGATAACGCACAATTGTGAAGGTGTCCAGGTTGCCTTTGTTCTTCGTGGCGCGTATTCTCCAGGGGCAATTACATTCTTTCTTCCTTTTGCATTGTGCCACCCATTTGTGTTTATCGGACTCTATCACCCGAAAAAATTGGTTTCGTTTGATAGAATACAAGCTCACCATATTGATGACTTGTTCTTTGTTGTCAAATTGTTGACCGACCTCAAACTCACCTTCGGAGGTAAACCTTGTCTCACCTGATCCACTCATCCACGCATCAGTAAAGCCCTCAGGGAGATCATATATTCTAGTAAAGTGGCTAGACGGGGCAGTTGCCGTGACAGTATCACCATCATCTTCATCAGATTCTGTCATGTCATCACCATTGATGTTCTCGTTAGCATCATCATCACTTCCCTGCCCATCCACAAATGATGCACCGTTGTGCAAATACCAACCATCTTCTTGTATAACCATGTCCAGTACAGAAGCATTTGAGGAGTTCCCTGCATTCACACCTGCATTGACATCATGCGTAGATATAACAACATTTGATGTTGATTGCGTACCATAAGCGTCACAGGATTCCTCAATGTATATCTCCAGCGTGGACATATCCTCCATCTGAACTATGCCCCACATATTTGTTATAGCTAGCTCATCAATGAGGGGCATAAGCATGTACTTTCCCCCGTTCATGGGAAATTTCATTTTCAACGCCAAAGAACGGCTAGGATGAATCATTGTGGCTGCATGTATTTTTTGAAGGATCTCGAGCATGCAAGCGCCATGAGAAACCATGACAAAGCTGGTTCTACCACCTTCATGGCATATTTGCCCAACATCCTCATAATACTTCCCTCCCCAATGACAAACAATTGGGAAGCTTGAGAAATCCATATTCTAATAACAATTCATAGGGCGAACAGGATGAGTGAGAAACTCCCACCTCCCACTACAATTCCGGCGAACTATTCTTAAATTCCGCCATGAACATAGACCCCCGGCCACCTTATTCACGCCGGGAGCTTTACCAAAAGCTCAACGGAAACCATCACACTTCGTACAGTTATCCTCTGTTCTGCAACTCCTGCTACCGAGACTTGGAGAGAGATTGCCCGTCCAACATAAACATCCCTCCATTTTGGAATCATCACCCTCGTAGTAGGCATCATGAACGAAGCTACCGAACTGGTTATCATCCTCACAGATCAGTCGGGGATAATCACAAACCATCTCTGCGGTATAGCAGACCGTCTCTTCACCCAAGAAAAAACCGACTGGAGAGCAGTTCATCTCTTCGCCCAAGACAAAACCGACTGGTTTGCCTGGAAAGGAACACCACTCCCACCGGCAGCCACAACCTTCATCAGCCACCATACGTCAACCGAAAAGGCAGACCATCGGAATGGAATATAACTACCATTTATGCTTCAGGAGACCACAAAATCAGAACAGAGGACCCAGATGGTCCTTGGTACACAGTCAACCGCCGACGTCGGTGTCTACCTCACCACGACCAGCGCACTATCACCTATCCAGCAAACAAAAGGTCAGTTGGCTATTCCAATCGTTACACACCCTTCACCATAGCTACTGACCAAGACATACATTATTATCAAAATCGATTTATAGGAATTAGAAATCAAGGCCCTAAAATCAAACGGAAAGCAGCGACTATTGTCGATCGTATCTGCGTGAATGTCAAGCCAAGTCAGCTCGACGGACATCCACATCGAAGCCAAGACCTAACAACTACTCCTCTGATCACGCCGGAAAAATTAGTTGGGAGACCAACCGCCGGCAAACAGACGTTCACAGGACCCACCTCCACTGCAAGTCTGGAGCAAGGTGATGGTCGCATGTCTGAGAACAGTACACATGAAGACAAGGCCCCATTCACATGGGCTGATTTGCTTCGTAGTGACAAGAACAAAATAACCCAGGTTGTGGATGTAGCACCCCTCTCAGCCACAAGATCCATCACAACATCAAAAGAGATAACCCTCTATTTCGTTGACGAAAATACGGCACCTTCACAAATAATTGAGGCAGATCCGAAGGCTCTTGCTGACTCAGAGACCTTTCAATTCTATGGAGAAGAAGGGTTTGACTCAATCAGACTTGAGTCTAAACTCTTTAAATTTGGAATAAAAAACAATGAAGTTGTTATTTTCGAGATGAAAAGATCTTTACTGAACAAGATTAGTTTCAATCTGAATTTGGCTCCACAAATCATCCAATTTATCACTCAGTTCACGGGATTTGATCAAAGATATCGGCAACAACAGAGATTTGGACCTATCACGGTTTCTTCAGAATTCAAGAAATCGGGTTGTTTTATGAAAATTGCTAAAGAAAAGGGGACTTCGGTCCTTATTCCAATGGGCCCACAAAAATCCAACATGATTAAATTTCTTGCTATCTTTTCAAATTTTGTGGGCTATTCTGATTCAATACAGGAGGAATCAATGCATTTAGAGCGCGAGACCGCGACAGGAACAGAGGAACTCACATCAATTTCCAAACTTATTTTCAATTCTCAAATTCAAAGAGCATGCGTCGAGAAAAAACAGTCACAATCATCAGAGAAACACCCCAAGCTACCTCTGAATCAAGCTTACTCAGACACTTCCGACAGCTTCAACCCATCGGATGACTCATATTATTCAGACGACTTTCTAGGGCACGCAACAGAAAGTGATCGTCGACCGCCAATTTCCAACCAAGATGACATTCGAGACTCCCACTTCAACAGAGAGATTTGCTATAAATCCCAGTTTATCACTGAGGACATTTGCCTTCCGACGGATAATCTGAATACACAACTCAAAATCTATTGCAAATCCCAGCAGAACAAAAGAAGACATAGCATGCGGAATAGATCACAATCGAAGCAATTCCCTTGGGCTTAGCTATATTTATTTTTATTTTTAATTTCCTTCTTTCTTTTCCTTGTCATTTCCCTTTTTCATTTTTTTCCTGTTTTCTTTCATATTACTCTAAACCTCCTTTCATTTCTCAATAAAATTTCCCTTTTTTGATTAAAAAAAAAAAATTCTAATAACAATTCATTGTCCAACATTCATGAGTAGACATCAATATACACACTTCACACACATTCAAATTTTCATTAGAAAAAACTACCTACATTCTAATATACCCAATAGTCAAAATTCACAATCAATTCACATTTCAATATGAAAATACCCAAATGTTGATATCTACATTCAAGTCTACAGTTTAATGCCCAAATTTAGCTACATTCAAATCTACCAAAATGCCCAAATGTCAAAATACACATTAACATTTCCAATCAATTTAAAATCAAATTTCACAACAACTGAATTCACAATCAATTCATAATCTAAAAATTCAAAAATTCAAACATTCAAAACCCTAAGTTCAAAATGAGATGAAATGGAGTTTGATTTACCTAGAAGAAAGAAGAAAGAGTGTTGAAGATGAAGATGGAGGTTCGCCAGAATGGGGTCGCCGGAGATGGAGGTTCATCGGAGTTGGAGATGGCTCTCGTCGTTCGTCGGTCGTCCTTATTCGTTCGTCGCTGCAGGTAAGATCGATTTGGGACTTTTGGTTTATGCGTTCTGTTTTGCGACTTATAAGTCGCCAAACCGTTTGGCGACTTATAAGTCGCCCAACCGTTGGGCGACTTATAAGTCGCCCAACCGTTGGGCGACTTACCCCGACCATGATTAACTCAGAAGTATTTTGGTAAATACTTTTAATTCAATCCTATTTTCGTAATTATTTAATTAATTAACATTAATACGGAAAAAATCTCTAAAATATTTGGCGTGACTCATGGTTAGAACTTTGAAGGACCGGTAATCTTTGCAACAACATCCAAAACGTAGCCCATTTATAGCGAGTCCAGAAATGTGAAATATAACCGGCCCAAAACATAGATAATCGTGGTCTGGAACGCCAGGGTTTTTCGAGTTCATCAACATAGTCCTTGGAAGCTGTATCCTTTGGTTTCTTATCGAATCTGTGGCAGGCGTAAGGAGGAACTAAGAGTTTTCACCTCCGGCGTGGAAGAGTAGCTGGAAGCAGGATTCTCACTGCGTTCACTTGAAGGTAAACAACCCCGATTGATAATGTGCTTTAGGTTTACGATGCATCTGAATGACTTTTGTCAGAAATTCTTTTTTGTTTTTCCTGTTTGCTACTAATTACGCGATTTACGATTGGATAATCCTGCATCTGTATGTTGACGCATTTATCCCTTGAAGCTTAGGCAAAATCATGGCTGAAGAGGAAGTCCAGAATGAAATGAAGGAGGAGTCGAAGGATGAAATTGCGGATGTAAGCTTAGATAGTTCTCTTTTTCTGTACTCTCTTTCGGATATGTAGTATTCTCCACTATTTCCTTCTGATCGGATTGCCTTATGACTGCGCGTGCGCACACTACATACTGGCTTACTATTGCCAGGCTTGAAATAAGAATATTAAATTCGCCTATTTTTTAGCTCGTCCAAAAACCTGTAATCACTTTTATTTTGTAAATTTACTTTACGAAAATATTTGCCTTTCAATTCTAATGCCACACAACTGAAGCTTTTTATAAACGTCCTGTTTAGTAAAAGCCCTACTACTGAAATTTAATCTTGAGAAGTCATGCTAAATACACTTTAATTTGTCAGAGTCAGCGTGTTTAGATCGTTAGGGGTAGAAGACAACATTTCATTATCATTTCATATAAGCAGAAGACCCTATGACATTTTCTAGAATATATTATGCTTATTTGTAATGGCTTTGCTGTGAATATGAAACTTTATTCCAGATTGCTTCATTTGACCCTACAAAGAAGAAAAAGAAGAAAAAGGTTGTCATCCAAGATCCTGCAGATGAATCTGTTGACAGCTTAGCTGAGAAAACTGAAAGTTTGTCAGGTATGCTGTTCTAATTGAGTTACTTGCCCCCCTGAAGAAAATAATGAGGTGTATTTTTGTTCGTGCTGCTCCATAGTTTGAGTTGTCTTGCTGCGCAGTTTCAGAAGTTGGGGAGACCTCGTTTTCTGGAAAGAAGAAGAAGAAGAAATCTGTAAGTTTATGAATGTACAATGCATGTGCTAGTGTTTTATACTACCTACCTCTGTCCCCAAAACAACTTCCCACATTCCTTACTTGGGTGTCTCAAAACAAACTTCTCATTTCCATTAAAAGTAAGTTATCATCATCAAATGGCAAAACAACTCTTACTTTGTACTTACTTTTTTTACTTGATTTGACATAAAGTTGAAGAAGTATTATTGGAAAGTCAATTTCCCACTTTAGCTCTCCACTAAAATGTGTCTAACTGTGGGATATTGTTTCCGGGAAGGAAGGTATTTTTTTTTCACACAACACTCATTTTATGTAAGACAATGACTGCATACATTCGACCCCCCCTACCCTTTATGAATGATGACTCATTTTTTGTAAATTTTTGTAAATTACTGCAGGTACACACTGATCTTTTGAATGATGAGGCAGAGAATGCAGTGGATGAAATAGATGGTGTGTTACCAATTCTTTTGAGCTACAATTCATCAAATCTGAAAAATATGGTTCTGTATTCTCTTAGATGCAATATATGATGTACTGACACCATTGTGATTCAGATCACTTTGGGGACGATGAGGAAGCTGAAGAAATTGTTCTCCATCGCTATCCATGGGAAGGAAGTGACAGGGATTATGAATATGAGGAGGTATGTACTTCTTGGGTTCATAATTTTTTTGCGCTTTGGCAGTTATCATAAGTATCTGGCATTTCACTTGGGCATGATATCTGGCGTCATTTAATGGTACTTTTTGGACTGGGTAATAAAGAGGCAAAAACATTTGTTTCAGAAGTAGCATATAAAAGAGGTCATCAAAAACATTTGCAATTCAATCTTATTACTTGTACACTAAAATCCTGCAATTTGTCATGAGCAGGGCATGTGCATCTAGGATAGTATTCTGCCTATATACATGTGTGTGTGTGTGTGTTTGATCCTATATATCGTATCACTAATCTCTCTTTGTTTGGTTTCATAGCTTTTAGGTCGAGTGTTCAATATACTTCGTGAAAATAATCCTGAGCTTGCTGGGGACAGGCGTAGAACAGTAATGAGGCCTCCCCAAGTCCTTCGTGAAGGCACAAAGAAGACAGTCTTTGTTAATTTCATGGATCTTTGCAAAACGTATGTAATTACAGATCTTCTCCCCCTACCCTTACCAATGAGAACTTGTTTCATTGTAATTTTTTTGCTGATATTCAATTTTATTAATCTATATTTGTTTGAACAACCTGTTATCAAGTGCCAATTTAATAAGCTATTTATGCTATCTTTATGTTATAAGCTTTGGGTTTGTTAATGTTTATCATATAGATAAACAGATGGTTCATGAGTTCATCTAGATACTTGTCTAGGGCGCCATACATGGGACTATATCAATGGTGACGTCTGCATTACTAACACGTTGTTTACCTTATAAAATAAATAGGATGCATCGGCAGCCAGAGCATGTCATGACTTTCTTGTTGGCTGAAATGGGGACTAGTGGATCACTTGATGGGCAGCAACGATTGGTCATCAAGGGAAGATTTGCTCCAAAGAATTTTGAAGGGATCCTACGTCGATACGTTAGTAAGTACTTCAAGTCCAATTTACGCCTTTCCATGTGATAGTTAGTTTTAAGCAAGTCTGTCCACAATAATGGGTCAGTTTGGAATCCCCAATAATGCTATGCAGAGAAGATAGGCCGGAAGCAAAAGAATAAATTTAGGAAGAAAAGAAAAGATGTGGAAAAATTAATTTTTTCCAAAGTTGATAAAGCAATTTCAGATTTCAGATATTTTCAAATTAATTTTATTTGTATAGGTCTGTTATATATAGACTAAGAAATCTCAATATCTATGTGTATAGTGTTAATAATAAGTTTAAATATAATTTGAATTGTCTTTGTATTTTTCAAGGTCAAATGAACTTAAATAAACTATTTTCTTGCCATTCTCAGTATTCTGGGCTTGGCCAATTTGAATAGGTGTTCGCTGAGTTGTTTCATTGTTAATCTATTCGCTACTAGTGCTATATTGTCTCGATTCTTGACCAGTCAGGATAACTTGTTTATTACACGTTGTGTGTGTGTGTTCAGATGAATATGTTATTTGCAATGGCTGCAAAAGTCCAGACACTATTCTGTCGAAGGAGAACCGGCTTTTCTTCCTTAGATGTGAAAAGGTATGGCCACCCAACTAGTTTAGTTTAGCCTCATTTTTGTGTACATTCTCATTTCCCAAAAAACAAAACAGGGAATAAACATACTATCATCTTAAAACTTTGCAGTGTGGTTCTGGAAGATCAGTTGCACCGATCAAAGCTGGTTTTGTTGCACGTGTTGGACGTCGGAAAGCTGGAGCCTAAGCTGATCTTATTGTGTTCCTGGAATTGATATATATATTTCTAATATATCTGAAAAGGCCTGAAGTATGCTAAATCCTACCCGTAGTCCGACTCATCGTGAATTGTTTGTGGAATTTTGGATACATTTGCTTATAAAACTCATTCACTTGATGCGCGTTTGTTTTGGTATTTTGTTGACTCGTTTTTTGCCCCATCATATGTGTGCCTGTATCGCTGATTCGCTGTATGGTTATATCTTATTTCTGATCAGTTAAAGCTTTAGTACACTCATTAAATGAATAAAATGGCACGTTTTTATGAAAATATATTTTATCCAATTCAACAATTGTAGTATTTCAAAGATCGGACTTATAAATCAGCAAAGCTTTTTGAACAAGTAGTCATTCTTGGTTTCTGAACACGCAGTTTGATAATACAATGTACTCTGAAAGCTGATTTTAGAGTTTAAAAGAAATTAGCATACTTTACGAAAAGGGGCTATGGAAATAGACCTAGGGGTGGACCGGGTGTGGGTCAGGCTGGGATCTGGGTCGGGCTCTGGGTCGGGCCAGGTCAACATTATTGGGCTGAGTCGGGTCGAGTATGAATTATATTATTATTTTTAAAGGCTTTTTCGAATTAATTCCAACCCAAACCCCTTCAAACCACCCAGCCTCACTCCCCCGCCAACCTAGCAGCCCAAAAAAATTAAAAAAAAAAGTATTTGGGCCCGGGCTGGTCCAGCATTTAGGAAGCCCGTAGCTCGCCAGAAAAATGCTTCAATTTCGGCCTCAGTCTTGGTTTGGGCCGACTGGGTCAGGCCGGTACTGCACAGTAACGGGCCGGGTACCTGGTCGGGCCGAACCGGCCCAGTGCACCCCTAAATAGACCCGGATCTTGCGTTCAAAAAATACTTCAATTTTATCTTGTTATTCCAAATTATTTTCTTATTTTTGCAAACCATTATATCATAAATCTCACATTTCACAAAATATAATATTTAGCAAAGATAAGAAAATAACTTGAAATAACATGATATTAACCGGTCAAGGACCAGCGAATGAAGATGGGGTGCAAAGGTTGGATTATTCTTGAATAACGAAAAAGTGGGAATATTGTAAGAAAACGACGAAGTCTAAAGTTGATGCAAATCATGAAACGTATTGTCATTCTATTATATACCTATCTAAATCATTAAATCAACAGGTCTCAAATAATCAGTAACAACACCAAGTATTGCATAAGATGTATTTTAAGATGTGCATTATGAAATACAAGTTTACGTTAGCACTTTCTTATTTTCTTATCGAGATGACACGCAACTCTTAGGATTCCAAAAAAATATCTTTATGGACGGTCTATAATAGGTGCTAGTTGGACTGGGTATTAAAGACTAAAGAGACAAAAAGATTTGTTTTACATGTGCTCTATTGTCAGGATAACTTGTTTATTTGCACCTTAGTTTTTCACCTTTTTGTTTCTTGAGATGAATATGTTATTTGTAGAAGTCCGGGGACTTTCTTTTTTGAATATTTAACATTCAATATCACATACTAGAGGTTCATTCTCATTTGAACCGTATGTGAGAGAAGAATCCTTAAGGGGATGTTTGGATCTGATTCTTAAAACTGCTTCTACTTCTTCAGGGAGCAGAAGCAGAAGCTGGAGTGTTTGGGTGAAAGTGCAGAAGTGATTCTGGTGCTCTAATTTACTCCTAGAATCAGTTTTTTTAGAAGCTGGGGGTGACCAGCTTCTGAAAACTGATTCTGATTCTGCTTCTGCTTTAAAAAAGAAGTAGAATCAGAATTAGTTCCAAACACCCCCTAAATAGCCCTATAACATAAATAAAGTGCATAAATAGAACCACTATTATTTTCTCCCTAAAATAAAGGGAAGATCCATTAACTCTTAATTGGGAACTCTTATACTTTTAATAGGATCAAATAAGTCTTATTTAAGGACTTATAAACTTATAATTTATTACAATTTGAATGTCTGACTAAATAGATACCTTTGGTGAAAAAATATTGGACATGCTCATCATATGCAAAAGTGCAAAACTGACTTGAGACGGTTTGGCAATTGGCATGTAATATTAGAGTGGACCCGGGTCGGTTCTGTCCCAGTTGCGGGCCGAGACCGCCCGGTCCTAAAAGAAGTTCGAGAAGACCGGGTCAGAACCGCTATATTCCAGGCCTGGATCGGTTCCGGATACCCAGGCGGTCATGTCCTCATCCCGGACCTATTTATTTAACCGGTTTCAAGCTTAACAAATGACCGGTCTAGGACCGGAAACACCTGGCTCGGTCCCAAATATTGAAACTCGGGCCAGGCTCGCTGGTTACCCGGTCTTGAACCGGGATCGAAACCGCATTTGTAGGACCAAAGCTGTAAAACTGTTCAGATTGGGACCATACCATTACATATAAATATAAAATGTTTTACTTCTCCATAAAAACATAAAAGTCCATCGATGGAAGTTACGGTTTACGGTTATGGTTTTTACTGTCTCAGCACCTAGGTAAATAGGTTAGAGCCAATCGGTCCCAAATCCGTTTCAAGTAAAGCATGTCTGAAAGTTTTATGGTTTTCATGGGCAAGCCGCAAGCATGGTGCCTTTGTAAATCATTCTCATTTGACTTGGTGATTTTTTTTCTTTTAGCATCTTTGACTTGGTGAATTGAAAAAACTTAATTGTCGTTATGAAGTACGCCGTAAAAAACTAGTGAGGCAGAAATATTAAAAATTATGTCTAACAAAGATTTCGTTTACAAGAAATAAGAAAAATATTTCGATGAGTCAGAAATTAGTAAATAAAAACTGCACTGGATGTTGGAATATTTGCAATTTGGGTTGCACAGTGTTACAGTGTAGTGGCTTTGTCAAATATAAATGTGACGAACACCTGGAGCATCCACAATGCTTCCATTTTTAAAATGGCAATTGTCAAATAAATACTACGTAGCTTTCTAATACACATCATACAATCCCTCTGATGTGTGTGATGTTTTATAACTTAAAAATATTGCTCCTCTAATCCTCAATACTACATGTTTGTTTTAATCACTCCAATCCTGCGATCCATAAAGGCCAGGGATTTAAAGCTACCAAACTGGTTGTCATGATCATCATAGTTCGATCATCTATTTATGTGGAAAAGAAAATCAAGTCTCTATTCAATCAGAATCCTTATATATTTATATAAATTTTTATGTATATATATATGTAAAGTATAGAAAATCTGATCAATGGCACTCTGACGTTACTAGGGAAAATGGAAAAAGGCAGCCAGCGTGATAACAACGTTTCATACGGTCATACGGACGACTCATATATCTCATTCAACTCTCACTTTTCCTTCAGAGGGAGGCCAGCGTCTTTCACCGTCCGGATGTGAGTTGATACCACGACGGGTTTACAAAGGGGATATCGGTAGGCTTGGCCCGGGTCCGGTCTGACCCGCCAATGAACCGGCCCGGCCCGGTACTGTTTGGGACCGGACCGGCCCAGTGAACCGGAACCGGATCCGGGCATAGGACCGGCACGGGTGTTAGGGCGGGCCGGGTACGGGTCACCCCATCCTCTGGAACCAGGCCGACCAGGCCGAGCCCGGTTCGGGCCATTTTTTCAATTGTTTTTATTTTTCCCGGGTTGGGCTGGGTGTTTTGGAGGGTTTTGGGGGGTGGGCGGTCGGGGGTTAATCAGAAAAGCAAAAACAAACAAAAACTGTATATAAATCAGCCCGAGACCGGACCGGCCCGGACCTGGGGGAAACCCGGACCGGTTCCGGGTCTTCACTCAATATTAAAAAAGACGGTTTGGGCCCGGCCCGGGCCCAACCCGGAACCGGTCCATGCCTAGATGTCGGCCTGTTCTGACTAATATGGTGGATGCTCCACCAAAAGTGGCCGCAACATGATGAGATCCACCTACCCTGCGGTGGAAGGAATACAAGATTCGTGAACCTAGACTGTGATACCTTGGTGCCGATGGTGGTGGGGGGCTGGCGTTTGGCGGCATTAAATAGACATGACAACAAGGAAGATTGAGAATACAGACCTACAGATCGACGTAAAACCAACGATGGCAACACAGAACAAACTAACGGCAGATGCCAAAGCTTGGTGTTTGCCCGACTAGTCCCACACACACACACAAAGTAATATAACTGCCATGGGTGCAGAGATGTCTATTGTTGGGTGTTTGTCTCCCTATTTTTTCGACGGAAAATGAATTGTCGATGCTGATTTAGGTTACAGTCGGACAAACTCTGCACTTAGGTGCTTTGGACTAGGGGTGCACCGGGCCCGGGCCAGGCTCCAGGACGGGATTGGGTGGGACTAGAGTTTGGGTTGCGGGTCCGAGCCGGCCCGGGACGAGATTTGGGTTGCAGGCCCGGTACCGGCACGGATTAGTACCGGGATCGGGCCGGGTCAGTCACAATTTCTTTTTAGAAAAATAATTGGCTTTTCGGATTTATTCCTACCCCCCACCCCCCAAACCACCCAACCTACCTAGCTGTCAATCAATGGGAAAAAAATGGGCCTGGACCGTCCACGTTTTAAGCATCCCGGAACCCGCCCATATTCCTCCCGGTTTGGAGCCCCGGTCCCGACACCGCCCGGCCGGGCCGGGCCTGCAAAGTAACGGGCCGGGTCAAGTTGGGTCCCGGGTCGGACCGACCCGTCCCAGTCCATCCCTCTACTTTGGACAAAGCAGCAACTCGATATAACCATCATCATAGAAAATAACATATACGGTTTTTACTCTTTAAATTTAGGCATTTTTTTATTGATTTTGTCTGGTCAGCAAGTCTAGGAGGATTTCCACTCGGAAAGTTCCCTTGACAGTGTTTATCACTTATGAGTGTTTTTGCCAATTCAGCTAAAGTAAATGGGAGACTATACACATTGGAGGAGGAAATACACAAAGGATGACTAATAAAGTGAGGTGGCAAAAGCTGAAATTTTAGGGACGAGAAATGAGAGGATTAGGGAACAAAAATTTACATAGTCGCAAAAGATAACCATTTTTCCGTAGCATCTCTAGGGTTCCTTGAACTAATCTGGTGGTCTCCCTAGCGTCTCTAGGGTTCCTTGAACTCCGACGTTTATCGCCAGTTTGTGTACCGATTTTCTTGTTCGTTTGGCTCTTTTGTAGACAAGCATGGCGAATGAGGTTAATGATCTCTATGCAAGCCTGAGACTGGAGGATGATGAAGACGCGAATGGTGTCGATATTGATGACGCAATTGCGGAGAACGCCCAGACGGCAACGCCGCTTTGCATGGTGGGCAGAATACTCACCGATAGGCTGATCAAATTCCCTTTCTTCCG